AGGAGCAGGGAAGTGATCCTTCCCCTGTACTCTGCGTTGGTGAGGCCACACCTTGAGTATTGTGTTCAGCTCTGGGCCCCTCAGTTCAGGAAGGATATTGAGGTGCTGGAGCGGGTCCAGAGAAGAGCAACGAGGCTGGTGAAGGGACTTGAGCACAAGTCCTATGAGGAGAGGCTGAGGGAGCTGGGGTTGTTTAGTCTGGAGAAGAGAAGGCTTAGAGGTGACCTCATCACTCTCTACAACTACCTGAAGGGAGGTTATAGCCAGGTGGGGGTTGGTCTCTTTTCCCAGGCAACCAACGATAGGACAAGGGGACATGGGCTCAAGCTCTGCCAGGGGAGGTTTAGGTTAGATGTTAGGAAGAAATTCTTTACAGAGAGGGTAATCAGGCACTGGAACAGCCTACCCAGAGAGGTGGTGGATTCACCATCCCTGGAGGTTTTTAAGCAGAGATTGGATGTGGCCCTTAGTGCCATGATATAGTAATTGGAGTTGGATCAGGGGTTGGACTTGATGATCTTGGAGGTCTTTTCCAACCCAATCTACTCTATGATTCTAATAAACCTTAAAAGGTTAATTAGATATATAATTAAATACAGACTTACGGTGGGATCTTCTCAATGACCTTTTGAAGAACTTTTTCAACATTTGTTCCTTGTTTAGCAGAAATCTAAAAAAAAAATGCAACAATTTTGCAAGACACAACTTACACTCATTCAATATCAATTACAGAGTGTCATCACGTTTACTTAAACAGTTTTGGTGGCCATAGAGAATACTCTCCATAAAACCACTCTGAAGGACACTTTAGAATGCTATTACTGTGAAATGGTTCTTTTCTAATAGTTAAATGTTTTCTCTTGTGAATGGCAATTATTGGTATGATAGAAATGAAAATTTATGGATCGACAATGAGAAAATTTTAAGTCTCTGATGCCATTCATCAAAACAGACTTGAATTTTTAACTGAAAAGTATGTTCTCCACTCTTTTACAGGAGACAAACTTTAAATAAATTCATCTGTCAGACAAAGACATGCACACAGATGGCACCCTTTTGATTTACTACATGTACATGTCTTTCATTAGCTACAAAGCAGATACTGTTATACCACCAGCCACGTTATAAAACTTAAGAGGTCTTACCCTTATGCATTCATCTGCAGGGATATCAAACAGCTTCTCAATTTGTTTTTCAACTCTTTCAGGGTCTGCATTCTTCAGGTCAATCTGAAAAAAAACCAAACTGCTCAATATAAAAGCAATCGCTCCTTCACATGATCCAGCATCTTTTTCCAGAAGTACAAGAAACCTTTATGTATTTATGAGTAAATACTGGCTGTCTTCAAGAAATGATCAAGATTAATTTTAGAAAGTCTTCCTTCCTTGACTCCAGTAAGGATGCTCCCTGCAACTAATCTATTTTTGGCTTGTTTCATTAGGCAAAACACTGTTTTTTCCAAGAGCTGGAAAAATCTTTAGTTTACAAAGTAATTTTAAATCATTAAGTGTTACCTACACTGTTTTACAGGATCAAACATTAAGTACAATATACATCTACAGAAAGCAATTAACATAAGCTGAGCAGTAACTAATCTTGTGATTCCAATAATACAAGCCTCAAAATTGTATAAAACATAACACTTGGATGTCATTTAAAACTACAACTACACTTTTAAATATTGAGCTGCTACTCATTGAGCCTCCTCAGTATCAATGGACTTTTAACACCATCAATTCCAAACGTAAGCCTGGCACTACAAAGTCCACCACTAAGCCATGTACTTAAGTGCTACGTTTTTTAAATACCTACATGTATTTTATGACATTTGTTAAACAGACAACAAATACAGACAATTCTTATTACATTCCAGTATTATTATATATATATTATACCATTTTTTTTCATTATATACTTCATTATATACTTTCATTATATACTTCTATATCAGGATACATTTCTTATCAGTCTTCTACACACTTAAACAACCCAACTATTTAATAGGAAAGTCTAAAACTTTTATTACCTTATTTATGACAGGAATTATTGAAAGCTGTGCTTCAAAAGCAAGATAGAAGTTTGCCACTGTCTGAGCCTGAATACCCTAGAAAATAAGCATTACTAAAGTTTAATATAGAAACTTCCTGAGTTTTGGTGTGTGCTTGGGTTTGGGGTTTTTTAGGCATACTATACAATTTAAGATTACTTCACTATTCTATTCACTCTTTTATTTCCAAGATTGAAAATAAGTAAAAGGATTATACACAATTGCTGAGAAAAAAAACCAGTTTTCCTAATTATAATTTCTCGGAATCTGCATATAAGTAAACAAACTAATAATAATGTATGTGTGGCCACTTTAATGGAATTTTCATAGATAACGTAACATACATTATGCACCAAGTACATATTTTCATGTATGTTACAATTTTAGCTATTCAGAAATAAATAACTGGTATCTCAAAAAAGACATTTTTTTTTTGTTCTCAACAAACTATTTACAAATGGACTCTGACAAAGAAAAAGGGATGTTTATCATGGTGATAAGACTCTAATTACTCCACACATCAGCAATATACCTTCAACTTACCTTACAGTTACTTTCATAAAAGAAAGCAAATGATAAAGTTTATACCTCACATTTCTTTCATAAGGATAGCAAAACAACAGCTCTGATTAGATGAAAAGGGAATATTCCCTTCCAGATCCAAGTACCAGACCAAGGAAAGCAAAGCGACAGAGATGCTAATGAATGAGGATATAAAGCAATATCATCTCAACTGGACCGGAGAGGGCAGAAGGGGGGATGAAGAGAAGAGAAGGAGTTAAAAAACATCTACTTGTTGTCTTTCCTTTGTTCAGAACAGATCAAATGGAAGATTACTTATATGGGGATATTCATTACGGATATATGGGCCTAACTTTTTAGGTAATATAAAGAAGTAACAAAGAATGCTTATTAAAAAAAAATGCAATTAATAAGTTGTGTTTGTAAGTCTTCTGACAGAAAGACAATTAACACCAAATAATCACACAATATTTAAATATGACATTAAAAAATTAAATATAAAAACATCAACACATGTAGGGGACATACTTATTACTAAAGCTTACTTAAAAAGTGACTTGCCCATCAAGCTAAGAAGTAAGTGTTCATAATCATTGGGAGTTAGTTAGTTAGTTAGGTTTGGGTTTTCTTCATAAAACATGGGAAACACTAGCATTCATCTGACCCTTGTACAATACAATCATAAATACGCCACAGAGAAAATTCTCACAAAGTATTTCATTGATAATGTGCCCATATTTAAAATCATGATTTCATAATTCTCATATTCTAGTCTGTTAACTGAAGGTACTCAAATGGGTGTTAGTACAACAGCTAGAAGAAGTTCTTCAGACTGCCATTTGCAAAGTTCATACTCTCCAAAACACAGGATCTGAATTCCTCACTAATCTTGTGCTATTATTGCTATGCCATGGAGCTGTGGTATCTTTTAATAAAAGTATTTGTCTCTAGATTTTTTCTAAACCCCCATTGCTCTTCTTCTGCAACATAATACTTTTACGGAGATAAATGAAGGGCAAAAACAGTGGTGGAAAAACTAAAAAAAAAAAAAAAACCACCACTAACCTTCGCTCTAGCTTACTTAAGGAAATACTGAAATTCTAGATAAGAAACAAGAACTAAGAACTCTACCTCATTTGCATCCACTACAAGTATGACACCCTGACAGGCAGACAGTGACCGTGACACTTCATAGCTGAAATCTACGTGACCCTGTGGAGAAAAC